ATATTTTGTCATATTTTGTTATATTTATATTAATTTCGCTTTTGAAAAAGCTTATTTTTGGTTTTTGGTTTTTGAAAAGTTTAATTGAAACTGAACTAAAATTTATTCGATTAACATCAAAACTGGAACAATAAAAATTGAAAACCATTAAAATCGAACCAAATTCATTTTTTTGGTTCAGTTTCCAAATGCCTAGCCCTAGGTTTTAACCCTTCACAACATTTTTAGTCTTTTATCTTATTAAATTTATAAATTTTAGTCTCTCACCTTATATTATGACACTTTTAGCCCCTCACCTATTAAAATTGAAGAAAATAGTTCTCACTTTGTAACATTTTATTAGTTCTATTACTTGACTATTAATTCTGTTAACTAATTAGTAGTTGACTGTTAGCTGTCAAAAATCTTCTTTCAGCTAACAGAGTTAACAGAACTAACTTTATAATATTTCGTTAATTTTGTTAATTAGCTATTAGTTGATTGTTAGTTGATAAAAATCTACTTTCAATTAACAGAGTTAACAGTCAGTATAAAGTTAAGACTATTTTCTTCTATCTTAATAGGTGAAGGGTTAAAACTTACAAATTTAATAAGGTGAGAGGTTAAAAGTGTCATAATATAAGGTAAGGGGTTAAAACCTTCAAACTTATAAAATAAGAGCTAAAAATAAGTTTTTGTTGCCAATTCTATGAGAGAAAGGTAGAAAGAAACAGTAGAGGGCAAAACAGGAAAGTGAGAGAAAGGAGAGTGTCCTCAAGAAAGAAAAAGGTTGGGCAATGACGTAAGAAGAAAGAGGAAGACGATGATGAAGAGAGAAACAGCAATGGAGTAGGACTCAACTTTCTTATTTTTTAGATCCTAGAGTTTTATGCCTTGTTGATATTATATATGAATTTGTGATAAAGGAAGATGGTTCCTAAAGCCTGAGCGTTAGAGAAGGACGAAACAATTTTTTTGCTTTTTAATTCCCATTAATCTCACAGCAACATCTTCATCCTAAAAGTATCTAAAATTAGCTAAGGTTTAACTGGCCGTTAAATTTGTCCTTAAATTCAAATTTTAAAAAGTTTTATTCTCGTTTAACCATGAAACAAGAGTTGTTGGCTATCTTCAAAGAGTTTTCCAAGATTAACTGACTTACGGAGCTTTATACATGGTACATTATGGTGAACATTAATTAGACCAGGCAAATTAACTTTAGTTGGAATTATATCATCATTATCATCCTTTTTCTACTAAAAATGTTCAACAGATAAATCATATTGCAAAACAACTATAATTCAATCACACTCTAGATACAGTTGAGGAACTCGTTTTGGCTCACAAGTGAAAAAAAATTGCCGTTTTTCATTGAACGATTGGAAGAACAAATCGAAGGAGTGTTATTCATGCAGAATAGGGATGATTTCACAGTGGTCCATGAAGTGTTAAATGCTGAAGACTAGAGGATTAAGAAAATACAGGGAAAAATATGCTGAACTTTTGAATACCATCTACAGGGGGTGTTTGACTTCTAGGAACAGAACTTTGTTTTAGTGTTAAAAAAAAAAAAAAAAAAAAAAAAGCAGCAGCAGACACCATTGCTATGTATTTGAAGATACGTCATCATCATCAAGTACTGAATTCATCTCAAAAGTTCTTCGAACCCCCTGCAAATCATCTCAAGCATATTGCTATCAATATAGTACTCAAATTGAAGACAATTGTACATCCAAAAAAATTTGATACATTTCTTGCACTAAATCATATAAGAAATCAGAGATTATGGTCTAACCTGCATTATGACTGATGATGTGGTGTTGGAGTTTTGGAGTGATATTGCTGCAGGAGAAGACAACAAAGGTTCTGGTGGAACTGGCAAAGCTTCGAGGCTTCCTTGTAACATCTCAAGCACCTTACTCATTGATGGTCTGTTTGATGGAATTGTTTGAATGCACCAAAGGCTCGCTACTATCATCTTCCCAGTCGTTTCTTCTTCCTCATCATCTATGATTCTGTCAAGATTTAATTTTTCTGAATTTTCAAGCTGCTTATACAGCCAAGATGGAAAATATATTTCACTGGTATGAGACACTTCCACATTAACATTCCTTCTTCCCCCAATCATTTCCAACACCATCATGCCATAGCTATACACATCGGACTTGTAAGATACTCCTCCAAAGTTTCGACAAAATACCTCTGGAGCAATATATCCACAAGTTCCTCTGGCCCCCGTCATTGAAACAACACTGTC